CCTACCGGACACGTCAACAACCCGCCGTACAGTACGAATAGTCAACCGCAGTCCAACTCATCCATACTATACTAGGCGTCTTGAATATCATTCACAATAGTACATCCATAAACAAACATAATGTAAAATAATCATTTAAATCAGCGGAAACGTTTAATACAAGTGTTTATGCCACACTTCGGCAACATGGGCGTACAAGCCCCAAATAATTGATCAAAATAATATCCATGAGCATTAATTTAATGTTTTAAAAATGGAACGGAGGAAGCACGAACCACGTCTTCTCTCCCTGAGCTCCCCGAAGCAACGGGCGATGGTAGCAAGCTTTACTCCCTACCTGAAACTGTGAGGTGGCCTCCCCCGTGAAGGGGAGGTCAGTACTTGGAAGCATTTGACAAGTACAATGACAACTATACTAAGTATAATCAACGTTTTAATTTCTAAGACCCTCAGAATAGGGTGATATCATAATATAAGTAATAATTTATATTTCCCACTTATTATCTCTATAATAAGTAAATTTATTTATTTGTCGGCACACGGCCCATTTCATATATTTCATTATACCCGTCGTTAGCACGACACCGCCCGTAGGTCTTATCATCCTTTACGAGACTTGTCACCGCTCTCCGAGGCCTCACCGGGCTCTCGGGCCGGAGTCCAACATCCCGCCCCTGAACTCATACCCATCATCCCGTAGGAAGGTAAGGTCCATTCGGGGTCCTATCTTATGTGTTACCGCTGTCGGGAGCCTCGTAAGGTCTCCGGTTCGGATTCCACCCTAACCCGTGATCACGATGTAAGTCCATGCTATCCAACCCCGCTCTCTAGAGTCGGGAAGGGCCATGGTCCTTACTAATTTCCAATACTCTATCGGCTAATCCTTAAAGACTACCGAATACACCCGTAGGCCAATCCTATTCCTAGGATCAATTTACTATTCATTTTATCTTGGGTATCCCTTAAGGCCTACCCCTAGCATCACTTATCCACCTTAGTATCTCTTAAGACTACTTAAGGCTCAACAATTTACAATCCAAACCTTGGATCAATTCTAACATATTCCATTCCAAAAACCCCGACTAGTATCATAATACTAGTCGGATAAATTCCAACAAAACTCATTTTCAATTCATAGTCATATAGACAATTTCCAAACTAATTTTCCATTGAAAATATAGTTCATATCAATATACAAAATATAACCTTTAATCACTCATATATCCTTATATGAAGTTATAGTTATATTTCAACACATTATTTATAATTAATCCCTTCCTCAAGCCAATATGCTCATATTACATAATCATACACAATTTATCCTTAAATTTGTATATTATGCTCCTTTATTCATTGACAACAATATTTTCATTTAGGCATTATTAATCATTAATAATCCATGAAAATCACATTTATTTACTTTAGGTAATCCTACGAAATTAACCCAAAGATTATAAGCAATATAGTCAGCCATCCTCACCTTATGAAGTGCTGAAATAGTTGTCCTTGTTAAGTCCTTCGATCAATCCCCGTTCTAAACCGTTTGGAGATGAAAAATCTGGGCAGCAAACGAAAGCCGGGCGGCTTTCGTGAAAGGTGGGCGGCTTTCGTGGTCTGCAGCTACGAACAGCCTCCTATACTTGGCGGTTTCCGGCGATTTCAACTCCTATCGATTCCACGACTCTTCTAAGTTAAATACCACCACTTTATAACATTATTCTACACTTTTAAACGTGTAGAACTTCATGTTTAATCCACCATATGATTTCTTTAAAAATCATACAAAAATAATACTAGTTAAAGAATGATGGTTGTGTTCTTACCTCAAGAACAACTCTTTTCTCCTTGGATTTCTTCTCTTGTTGCTTCCCCCAACTATGGCTTTTGAGAGCTTTAGTTTTCCCTGGGCTCTTCTCTCTTGGTTGTTCGAATGAATCAAGGAGGGTAGGGGAGGAGTCCTTCTCAACCAACACATCACAAGGTGTGGGATAGGACATGGGTGAGTGGGTTTTGTCCCAATGAGACTTCCCATTCCCACCATCCGCACAAGCCAAGTTTGTGTGGCCCCCTCCCTTATTATTTGAGCTAATTTAGTGTATAGGATACCCCAAGTGGGTGTAGGAAATCCCTCCCAATTATTCCTGCTATTTTCGGTAGGTCGGGCCAAAATAGCATTCGGGTTGTCCAAATATTTTTATCAACTTTGGTTGACCCTTTATTGGGCTCCTTAAATTATTATGATAACCCAACTAAATATTTGGTAGCTCATTCCATTATTATGGGCTCGATAAATAATTTAATTAATCGCACATTAATTAAATGTACCAATCAATACACAATTTCTTCGCTAAAAAAATCAAATACATATCCACTTTCAAATTCAAGTACATTCGGGTGCGGTGTCACAAGTTCACCCCCCCTTAACGGGAATTTCGTCCCCGAAATTCACAAATGCTTACTCAAACAGAAATGCATATTGATCCTTCATTAAGGCTTCCGTTTCCCAAGTTTCTTCCTCAACTCGGTCACTTTTCCAAAGGATTTTAACCATTGGAACTTTCTTGCTCCTCAACTTCTTTACTTGCCTATCAAGTATCCTTACCGGTCGAACGGCATAGTTCAAGTCCTCACGTATTTCCACGGGTGGTTTCTCTAACACGTGAGACGGATCCGGCACATATTTCTTTAGCATAGACATGTGGAACACATTATGTATCTTCTCCAATTCTGGAGTCAATTGCAATCGGTATGCTACGGCCCCAATTCTTTCAAGAATCACAAATGGCCCTATGTAGCGTGGGTTAAGTTTCCCTCGGCTTTGAAAACGGATGATCCCTTTCCAAGGTGAAACTTTCAAGAATACCTCATCTCCAACCTTAAACTCTAAGGCCCTCCGACGCTTATCGGCATAGCTCTTCTGTCTATCCTGGGCCGCCTTAAGCCTTTCGCGAATCATCTTCACTTTAGACTTGGTGATCTCCACCAATTCTGTGCTCTCGAGTTTGGCCATGCCAACCTCATCCCAACACAAGGGTGTACGACATTTCCTCCCATACAATGCCTCGTATGGAGGCATGCCAATACTCGCCTGATAACTGTTGTTATAGGCAAACTCCACGAGTGCTAAATGGTTGTCCCAACTCCCTTGGAACTCCAATGCACAAGCTCTCAACATATCCTCCAAAATCTGTATAACTCTCTCGGATTGTCCATCCGTCTGTGGATGAAAAGCAGTACTGAATTTCAATTTCGTTCCCATAGACTCTTGGAACTTCGGCCAAAATCGTGATGTGAATCGTGGATCCCTGTCGGACACAATGGTTATAGGAACCCCATGTAGCCTCACGATCTCACCCACATACAATTTGGCTAATCTCTCAAGTGCGTAGGTGGTGTTGATAGGTAGAAAATGTGCACTCTTCGTGAGCCTATCAACCACAACCCATACAGCATCATAATTCCTCACGGTCCGTGGCAGTCCTACCACAAAATCCATGGTCACGTGCTCCCATTTCCATTCTGGAATGGAAAGTGGCTGCAATAACCCAGCTGGATGCTGATGTTCTGCCTTAACTTGCTGGCAAGTAAGGCATTTACTGATGTACTCGGCTATTTCTCTCTTCATACCAGACCACCAGTAACTTTCTTTCAGATCACGGTACATTTTCGTACCTCCCGGGTGCATAGCATACGCCGATGAATGAGCCTCCTCTAAGATGGACTTTCGGAGCCCCTCATCCGATGGTACACACACTCGGTCACGAAATAATAAGAGACCATCATCTCTTTCCCTGAAGTCCTCCACTGGTCCCGCTTGCATGCGTTCCCGGATCCTCGTGATTTCCTCGTCAGTTTCCTGACCCTTCTTGATCTCATCAAGCAAAGTAGGTCTCACCTCAAATCGTGCCAATAAGGCTCCATTACTGGATACCTCCAGTTGGGCTCTTAAGGTCCTCATGTTAGCTATCAATGCCCCAGATGAGCTCTTCCGGCTCAAGGCATCTGCCACCACATTGGCTTTACCGGGGTGGTACTCAATGATGAGATGGTAGTCTTTTATCAACTCCATCCATCGCCTCTGTCTCATGTTCAACTCTTTCTGAGTAAACACGTATTTCAAGCTCTTATGGTCAGTGTATATATGACATGTCTCCCCGTAGAGATAATGTCTCCAAATCTTCAGTGCAAATACCACTGCCCCCAGTTCTAAATCGTGAGTAGGATAGTTTACCTCATGCTTCTTTAACTGTCGTGAAGCATAGGCAATTACCCTCCCTTTCTGCATCAACACACATCCAAGTCCTTGGATGCTAGCATCGCTATAGACATCGTACCCCATACCTTGCTTGGGTAATGCGAGTACCGGTGCCTCGGTCAATCTCCTCTTTAGTTCAATGAAACCTTTCTCACATTTGTCATCCCATACAAACTTAGCTCCTTTACGAGTGAGCTTCGTCAATGGTGATGCCAAAACGGAGAACTTCTCCACGAACTTCCTGTAGTAGCCTGCCAACCCAAGGAAACTACGAATTTCCTTGACGTTCTTTGGCCTCTCCCATTCGGTAATGGCTTCTATTTTCTTGTTATCCACCGCAATTCCCGATCCCGAAACCACATGCCCGAGAAAGCCAATCTCCTTAAGCCAAAATTCACATTTGGAAAATTTGGCATAGAGTTGCTTCTCCCGTAGTGTCTCAATATTATAAAACAAAAATAAATAATTATTCTGAAAATCTTAATTTTTTTATTTTTCAATTTTGAATATATAATTTATTTTTAGTATTTTTAAAATTTATTTTATTTATTTAAATAAATAACAGTAAATTTGCTTGTTTATAGGAACATGAAGGGTATTTTTGCACCTTTTAAAAGTTCAGGAGGTATATATGCACTTTCACATAAATTTCAAGGATATATTTATTTTAAAAAATAGAAAAAAATATATTTATTCTCGCACCTATATTGGAAGGGTATTTTTCTACTTTTTTTCCCTACATTTGTTCAAATACTAAAATTATCAGAATTAGAATTTCAAAGACTTTCCTCGGCAGACAGAACTCCCAGAACCATGGCCATGGCGACGTCGTCGTTTCAGTGCGCGGCTCTGCTATCCAGAAACTCTGTAACGCCACGACAGAGCTCTTTCAGCAGCGTCGGATCGACCATCTCTTGGCAATCAACTTCATTGTATCCGCGCGTACAGTCGCTCGCGGTGTCTCAGCCCATCTCACCTGCGGTGGTCGCCTCCGCAACCGGCGGCACCGTGGAATCTGAACCTCGAACCAGCGCCACTACTGCGTCAAAGACGCTACCCTTCAGAGTAGGGCACGGTTTCGATCTACACCGTTTGGAGCCTGGATATCCGCTTATTATTGGCGGGATAAACATTCCGCACGATAGAGGCTGTGAAGCTCACTCGGACGGTGAGTATTCTCAGCATATCCTTCCGGATTGGTGTTTTTGCGGTTCAAGTAACTCCTTTCACCTGATTTTTTGGTAGGTGATGTGCTACTTCATTGTGTTGTTGATGCAATTTTGGGTGCTTTGGGGCTTCCGGACATTGGCCAGATTTTCCCGGACACAGACCCTAAGTGGAAAGGCGCACCATCATCTCTTTTCATCAAAGAAGCTGTAAGATTTTCATTTGATTATAATTCACTCCATATGCTATGATTATTTATCGCTGCTTTGGATTTAGGACAGTCAATGGATATGATCACTTCTAAATCACTTAGGACATTTTTGTTATGGCATCCCGGAAAAAGATCCTGTCCATCCGGATGGACAGAAGGTGCCGTCCGGCTGCCGTTTGGTGGAGTTTTTGATGATTTTTTTTGTGCATATTTCTCATCAAGTCTAGTTTACCCACAAAAAATTTCAGCTAAAAATTTGATCGGGAAGACAGTCAAATGATTCTTCTTTTTGGAAGATAACTGCGTTTTATATGTATATGAAGGGCGCAGTTATCTTCCAAAAATCATTTGACTGCCTTCCCGATCGAATTTTTAGCTGAAATTGTTTGTGGATAAACTAGAATTGATGAGGAACATTCCCAAAAAAATTCATCAAAAAGTTCAACCGGGAACCCCAAACGGCGGCGGCCGGACGGCGGATCCTGTCCCTCCGGCTGGACAGGATCATTCCTCATGGCATCCCACCCTAACCTAATATAAAACCTTGGGCTCCTCATGTTGGCCTTGTAACATGCAGCCCAGTCTTAATAAGATTTGTTTCAAGATTGGCTAAGGGCTAGCATTTCAAATTTGGTTTGTTTCAGCAACAAAACGTCAAAAAATGTTGTGGGCATGTAAATCCATTTCACATCTCTGAAATATAGAGAAAAACAAACATATAAAAGCGAGTATACTTCCGTGTTTTAGAATGGAAGCTTAAATCTTAATAATTTGTACTCATTGTAAATTTGTAATAATATGATGCATGATCTAACATTTCCAAGCAACTGGCTTTTCGTCTGTATCAGGTGCGGCTGATGCACGATGCTGGTTATGAACTTGGGAATTTAGACGCCACTTTGATACTGCAGAAACCAAAGGTAAGCCCTCACAAGGAAGCTATTAGATCCAATTTGTGTCAACTGCTTGGGGCAGATCCCTCAGTTGTAAACCTAAAGGCGAAAACCCATGAGAGAGTAGATAGCATTGGGGAAAATAGGAGCATTGCGGCCCATACTGTTGTTCTTTTAATGAAAAAGTAGCATATGACCTTTACATATTCTTGTTCAACCAGAGATTGTACGCAAATTTGCCAAAGAGTGACGGGAAGGAAGGACCCTATGTGAAAAAATTCAACATCCAAATGACCAGTGCTTGAAAAATGAAAGTTGATGGCCAACAATATAATTCCTTCATGGAAAGAATCAGTTTCAACCCATTTCACATATGGCATAAATGGTATTCGCAACATGATTCCTCAAAATACCTCCCAACATGTAGTATAGTTCCATTCGCATAGAATTTGTTCTCAAACATGTGTCCTGTAATGCGCACTTTGCACCGGTGGGCGTAGCTCAATTGGTAGCGAGGGAGTGCCACAAGGATTAGGTCCCGGGTTCGAATCCCGGCAACTGCGATGAGAGGTTACTCTACAGAGGGCCTCTGCAAGTACCGGGGATGGAGTCTCACTCTATATCTGTCAGATTGTGATTATAGACCAATTTACATCCTCCCAGCGTGTCGTCCGGTCGGTGTTGGGGGCCTCTCAGGGATGGGGTGTCATTCTTTTTTGTTTGTAATGCGCACTTTGCAACACCTCAACAAAAGGGCCAAAGCTCAGAACTTTGAGCGTTTTTCACTGGACACTAAATTTTTGTTTCACTCATTTTGTTGTTCTCCCCAGATTGGGAGAATCAGTCATTAAAACATTGTTCTCCCCAGATTGGGAATCTCTCATCTTTACATTAGCCTGTACTGGAAATACCAAATGTACTTGGTCTTGTTGATTGGTAGTAATTCCAATGTATACACTGTAAACTCTGTGAATATGGATGCAAGAGAATTTCTTCCTCCCTTGGCCAAACAATTAAAGCTAATTGTATATTAAAAGTTGTTATCGCAAATCATAACTTTTATTGCTAAGAAATACAGGAGAAATTAATTTTTAAATCAATGAACTTCACTACCCCATGCAAATGTTGTAATCTTCCAACTTTTGGTATTCGTTTTAAATGGGGTACATGTTGTGTGCATTTAAATGGGGTCCAATGTTTAATGACTGATTCTCGTATAATAGATTCTCATAATAAAAAAATTCTCTTACGAAATTATTTTATTATGTTTAGGGTTGGGCACTTGGGCATCATCATTTAGCCCGTAAATTTATGAGTTTGTGTGGGCCCACTCATCCCATTTACCAAAAGGCCTAGCCTGGCACATAAGGGCCACGAGTCAACGGGTCAACCCACTATGTGATGGGGTGGCCTGACCTGTCAAGACCCATCTAGCCTAGAGCCCTAGACTATTAAGCCCAAACGACCCAGCCCTGAAGCCCTTTTTATACATTATTAGTTTTATACACTAATTTCATAATAAGAAACATACGATAGTATAAAAGTAGTGAGTAATAGTGGAAGAGAATGTAGTTTGGGAGGATTGTTAATTAGGTGATATAAGTTTGTAATAGAATTAGAGAAGTTTGGATAAAAAAGAATTATTTTTGTATTTATACAATCTCTTTTTCAAGAGTGCAACACCAAAAACTTAGATATAGATAGTTTGAAGTTTTGAACTTTCATTTCATTAATTCATTCTTGAGGAATGGATTATTTTTGCTTATTTAGTTGATTACATAGTATTGTAATGTAGCAATGGAATTTATTCATAGACAAAATCAGTTTCAACCCATTTATCTTAAGGCATAACCGCATAATGGTATTCCCAACATGATCCCTCAAAATACCTCCCAACTGATCATAGTATAGTTACATACGTATGGAATTTGTGTTCAAACAAGTGTCCTCTAATGATCACTTTGCAACACCTCAACACTTTGAGCGTTTTTCACTTGGCACTAACTTTTTGTTTTACTAACTTTTTGTTTTACTTTGGTTACATTATATCCCATGATTAATTTTGTTGTTCTCCCCATATTCTGATATCTTATCATTTCATTAGCTTGTATGGCAAATAAAGAATGTACGTGGCCAGTGGCCTTGTTGATTAGTAACTCCAATGTTATACAATCAACGGCGGATTTGGAATTTAAATTTTGGGTGTTCAATGTTTTTTTTACGATTATAAATTTAAAGAGTAATAAATTATTATACTAAATTTACTCCCATATACCTACATGGTTTTTAAAATTTTGGGTGTTCATATGAATCCCTTTGAACAATAGTGACTCGGCCACGGTATACAATGTAAACTTCGTGAATATGGATGCTAGAGAATTTGGTCCTCCCTTGGCCACACAATTAAAGCTAATTGTATAGTAAAAGTTAGTATTGCAAATCATAACTTTTAATACTAAGAATCCAGGAGAAATTAATTATTAAATGGGATATACGTTGCGTTAATTTAAATATAAACTAGTATTTTTATCCGTGCCACGCATGAGGTAAAAGATGTTATGTAGTATAATTTTTAGTTTTGTTATAGCACGTAAAAACAAATATTTGAAGATGCGAGTGTTGCTTCATAATATCTAAATAGAATGGACAACCAAATAAATATATTGATATCAAAATTTGATCTATAATTGCTTCATTGTTACTTAAATAAGAAATGATTAATTATGATTACCATTTATTTAAGCAATAATTACTATATTGTAGGTTAAAGTCAAGTGACACTTGAATGATTTGCAATTTAATCAAGACACTAATTTTAATTTAGTATGTAATTCATTGGGGGATAATGTAAAATGATGTTAAGGCAATGTAAACTAACATTTATTTGACAAAATATAAACTTTCATCGAATTATCAAATACCATGTTCCATATTTGTCATGCTATTATGCTCCACATTTTATGATATTTTAAAGGTAAGAATGAGAATAATAGTTTCAATGATTAGTAATCTGCTTCTAATAAGGTCAACTATCAATTACTCATGTATATATAATACGTAAAATATATCCACATCTCGTGGAGTTCTCGACATTTTCATTTTCATCACCTATAAATCTATAATCAATATGACTAAAAATGAAAGAAAATGTACCTTTTGAAACAACTTTTCACTAGGAAATTACTTTTTAATTAAATTTTTATAATAGAATTAAAACCATATGATTCATTGAGACCTTAAGTTACTCAAACATTTTAATTTTGAAATTTATAAAAAAGTTCATACTCTCTACTTATGAATGCTATATTCTTTAATTCCTTTTTGTGGCTGATAATCTTTGTTGACAAATAAAAATTTACTCATGAATACTTTTAAAATATTAATGATTATTGGACTAAGTTTTTTGTCTGATTTTTCTGTTCTGATCGAATCTGGTGTGATCTGATCTGATTTTTCTCTTTAAAACATCATTTTTTAAAATGCTGTAACATTTTTATTTGTACTCCGATTGTCACAAAAATAATTTAACACTTTAAAAAAATCTCTTTTTTAAAATTACTATAGCTTTTTAAAAAAGATACTACGTATATAGCAATTTAAAAAAAAATATTTTTTAGGTGTTTATTTATTTTTTATTTTTATATACTCAATATTGGTGTCATATGAAAGATAATAAAAAGTTATGAATTTCGATATAATTTTTGTAACAATCAGAGTACAAATAAAAAAGTTATAACACTTTAAAATAAGCATCAAATTTTATTTTGTGGGGCCCTAATAATATACCAAGGAGTATAATCTACCAATGAGTTTAACACGTAGGAAACAGTGGCGGAACCAGAACTAAAATAAAGGGGTGGCTAAAAGTATTTTAAAATTTAAATAAATAAATTGTTACGTAGTATTACAGTTTATAGAATATAAAATTTGTGAGAGTAATGCATTACATTACAATTAAATGTTAGAAGAAGAAGCCATGACAATTTATCAAAACCAAGCAGGTTGAAAACTTCGTTTAAATATACATGGCCATTCGGTCTACACGAATATCTTGTTAAATATTTTCTCATAACTTGGTCTCAAATAAAACAATTACGATAGTATAAACTTTGATTAGTTTGCGTAATTCAAAATCTGACACAACATTATTTGGATCAAATTCGACACGAGCATGTTTTTCTCTATTACCTTCTTCGTTATCTCGTCTAGAAGACCAACGTCTCATGTTACAAATGGTAAAATACACATGATCACATGAGTAACCTAACAAGTTAAAAAAATCAACTTTAAATTTGTAAAGAGTTAAAGTAATTAATCAATTAAAATTTAAATCAACTAAAGCAATGAAAGTAAATAATCAAAAATTGCACATACAATTCTAACTTTATACCAATTCAAGCAATTAATCAATTGAACTTTAAAGCAATTAAAGTAATTACTTAATAAACTTGCAAAAGGATTTAGACTTTAAAAGATTAATTAATTCAATTTTAAATTAAATAAGTAATTAAATTAAAAAAGAATTCAATTTTAAAAGTCAATACCAAACTAGGGAACTGGAGTATGGATGGACCGAGAGTGGGAACAACCTGCGAATGAGGGGAACTGGGAACAAGATGGGTCAACGGACTCAACGCGTATATCATAATTTATGGGCAAAACGACGTCGTTCTCTCTCTTTTTTGCACTTAACCAAACGACGTCGTTTTGGGTGATTTAATTATTAAAAAAAAATAGGCTGTTTGCTGCATCCTTCCCGATCTGTCTGGTTCGCTGCATCTTGCTCGGCCATCGTAAGGATTAAGGAAGAAGATGAAAGCACATGGGGGGCGCCGATCTGAAGACCTTATAGTACTACTAAAAAATCTCCGGCCAAGGGGTGGCGACGGCACCGGCTCGCCCACCCCTGGTTCCGCCCCTGGTAGGAAATACCGTATATAATATTCCTATGAAAAAGTTGTGTTGAAATAGAATTGTTGAGAAGATGACATGTGCCAAAAGTTTTTTTTTTTGATGGAGTGCCAAAAGTTTTCTAAGTTGCATCTTTGAATTTTATTTTTATATATTCAATTATATAATAAAAAGATATATTTTTTTAAAAGATAATAAAAAAGTTAATAAAAAGATAATAAAAAGTTATGAAATTTAATATATTTTTTGTAACAATTAGAGTACAAATAAAAAAGTTATAGTAGTTTTTTAAAATAAACATGGGATTTTTTTCTTTGAAGTGCATAGTTTTATGAAGTTTTTAAATAGTTGTATTAAGTATGACAAAAAAAATTAGTTGTATTAAGTAGGATTCAAACGTATAGAATTGTCCTAAATTAATGAAATAGCAGTTCTAATCAGGAACGGAGCCAGGAACCAGTGTGGTGTCAATTTAACAAATTTTTTTTTGAAGCACAATACTATTATATAATAATATATACACATGAAGCAAAAATAGCAAATATTGTCATTAATAAATTAAAGTACTAATTCACAACTGTCCACGACGCGTTTTCATATTTTGAAAACGTTGTACAATGTTTTCTTTGTCAACACTTTTGAATATATCTTTTTCACTAAAAGTGACTAAGGCATCATTCATCAAAGCATCCCTCATTCGATTGCGCAACCTGTTCTTCACGATCTTCATGGCTGAGAAAGCTCTTTCCACAGTTGCGGTCGCCACTGGTAAAATCAAAGCTAATTTTACAAGTAAGAAAACTAACGGATACACAATATGTTTCTTTGTCTCCACCATTTTTCAGCAAGAGAACAACCTTCTGTAATATCCATAAATGCAGAGTTTGAGCGCACATCAAGGATAAAAGTTTCAAGTTGATTGTCAAGAGCAAGAACATCTACCGGAGAAAAGTCAGAAGGATATAGTTGAGCCATGCGAGTCAACTTGTCCTTGTCAAAAGATGAAAAAGAGTCTTTAGGACTAAGACAAGCCACACAAAGGAGTAGATCTGTAGTAATCTCTGTGAATCGATTATTCAACTCCTCGCG